CTTGCTCTCCTCTTTTTTTTGCAGGATCCGGTGGCATTTATAACCACCACGGAGCCCTTCTCTGACCGGTCCAGAGGGGGAACTTTGGTGAGTCACCGAACTTCCAGTGGTGACTCACCGTTGGGGGTGACGTGTGCATCCACCTGGTGCTTCTGGAGACTTCTGCGAACATCATGGCAGCAGCATTGAAGCGGCGGCGTCAGCAACAACTGATTGGGTCACCTGGTAGTGGAAGCGTCGGCAACAAAGGCGGCTGGAGCTTGAAGCAGCGGCGGCGAGAGATGATAACCTAGGGTTAGGAAACCCTAGGGCTTCTTGTTGTTCTTTCTGTGTACCGTTAGAGATCCAACGGCTGAGAGATGTGGCGGCTGGGAGCTGAGGATGAAACCCTAGTTGAGTTTAGGGTTCTGGGTTGTAAACGGGCTTGGTTATTGGGCTTCGGATTTTGTAATATATTTGGGTTTGTATTATTTATTTATTTTTATTTAATAATAATAATAATAATAATTAAAAATAATTTAAATGAAATTGAAAAATTAGTGTCTACAGAGTGGGTTGGGGAACGAAGTAGATGGGAAGCTTACTGTGTTTTGTGGAGCAGAAGAAGGGGACATTGATGTTGAAGCCGGCCTTTTGCTTCAAACCTTGGAAGCCATGGCCAATGATGATGAATTCATGGGTACGATCACAGCTTAGCGTTTGCCTCCAAATTTCACTATGAAATATTACTTATTTCTCAATAAATCTCCCACGTTTCTACTTTTAAAATCTGAATAATTAATTGTCTTAAGCCCTGCGTAGCGGCTACAAAACCTCGTATTAAATAAAAGAAACATCTCAACCACATGCTAAGATTTCGATTTTATCAAATTGTTTATATATTTTAAAAATTAGGATAACCTGTTTAATTGGTCATCTACCTATTATTGCATTTCTATTTCGGTTGTTTAACTCTTATTTTAAAAGATAAACTACATGGATGATTTTTTTATAATTTTTTATCCATCCAATTTTGGTTATTTGTTAAAAAAATGATTTTAATTTTTTACGTTATTGATCTGTTTAATTTTAGCCCATCGATCGATAATTATTACTAACGAAGGTTTGAGTTGATAGTTTAAAAAATTACACATTTTTATTCTTTTCTTTGTATTATCGATCCGTTCGATTTTGATTCCTTAATCATTAATTTTATCACCTCGTTAACAAAAGTATGGATTGATAATTAAGGAAGATACACTAGTCATTGTTCTTCTTCTATCATTAAAGCTCTGATCAACCGTTAAAGTTTGGTTGTTGGTCACTACTCTCAAACTCTGGACCTTTTCCTCAGCATAACTAAGAACAAGAAATTGAAAGGAAAGAGCTATGAATAAAGAAAACAGCAGACGAATTGATTAATATGAGCCTTTTCCTGCTGTATAAATAGGTTAGAGCTTCACGACAGTCCCAAAGTAACCACACTGATACGAGTACTGAAGTGACTTGAAATCACTTTTTATTTGCACCACGAATCCAAAATAATAAACACATAATTCTGTGGAGTGATCATCTCCAAGACCAGGTAAAGAACTCATGATAACAAATAAAGAGAACAAAAATCAAGAAGTGTGGTTAGTGAAACATATTTTACTCTCCGATGCTGAGAACCTGAGATTTTTAAATGAGACATGGAGAACTAAGGGACTTTTAAGTGTATGCACGAGGGTCGTTTTTCGCATTAAAATAATTCATTCTTCTCAATTAATAAATAAAGGAAAATTAACATAATAAAAGAGAAGTAAGCGTCGATCTCACAGAGACTAAAGAAACTTCCTAATTTATTCGTGTTTTGTTTAATCTCTGAGCCAAGAAGTTGATAGAGTAGAATTTGAGTAATGGTGTGATTTACAGATGAAGAGAAATAAAATAAAAGAAAGAAAAATAAAAACATTTCAAAGAAGATTAAAAAGAAATTTTAAAAGAAAATTCAATAGGATAAAATCAATTTTAAGCTTTCGATTTGACTCAATTTACTTCGGATCATCAAATTAGATTTTCTCTTTGGGATTCACGATGGTTACTTTGTCTACAAGGACAATCCTCGTGACTCTTCTTTGTATATTGAATACCCAATACAATCTTTGATTCCGACTTCAGAAATTGATCTGATCAACATCAATTGTCATAGATAAATAACCGTTTAAGTTCGTGAAGACCGACTTGGATTGTTGTTTCAATAACTACTAATTCCGATTTCAATTGCCTCTTAGCAAGGCAATCTTGGCAAGTGTGTTCCCAAGAAGTCGAATGTGCTTTCAATAAGCCGATCATTCCTCTCACACATTTAATCGCAACAACATCTTGACCAAAGTTAATCTTTAATTTTGAAAATTGTTTTGATTTTGAAAATAAACACACAGATTGAGTGAGCTATTCCGAAGTTATTTAAGTGCTTTTCAATTCTCACGTTGCCCTCGACTTGAAAGAAAATTAAAGAAAACGAAAATAAAAGAAAATAATTTTTATTAAACTAAAGAAAGGAAAAAGGATGATTCATTTAGGCTTACCACAAGGGGTATTTATAGCCTTCTAAAACCCCTAAGAAATTATATTTAAAATGAAAGAGATAATTCCTAAAAAATAAAAATAAAATAAATCCGAATTTGAATTTGAAAAATGCGGCTAAGTCTCATTCTCCATGCAATCTGATGACTGGATCTTCTAGAAGTTACTGGCTGGATGTAACGTCAGCGACGTCATATCCAAAGTCATGCTCACTAATCTAACCATGAATAAAAAAAAATAAAAAACTATACAATTTTATCAATTTTAACAACATTTTTAGAATCTACTATTCTACATTAAAATTGAACGAAAAGGGCTAAGTTAACAATTTAAAATAGCTAATCAATGAGTAATTGATCATAAAGTACTGTATAATTTAAGTACTAATCAATGCAAAACACGAAGCATTAACGCATAAAGCAATTATTGTCTCAATTTTTTTTTTATCTTTAATACATTAAATTTAATTTAATCTTTTTTTTCAAAATAATAAGACATATTTGACTTATCATGGGGATTTAATACATCCACCTTGTTTTATAGAATGGCGGAAGAGAGAGAAGATTAAGAGTGTGTTTGGTTCACTGAATGTAAGATTATCAGTGAGAATAAAATATTATCAGGGAATAAGATTATTGTGAATGTTGTATTTTGTGTTTGGTTGGTTTAGCAGGAATGTAAGATTACTGTATTTGGTTAAAGGAATAAAAGATCATTAGAATGTATATTTGACCAAATTGCCCTTATTATATATTTGTATAATATTACAAATTGTAAAATATTTATATATTTTATTTAAAAAATTAAATTCATAATATTTATATAATTTTTTTTTTACAAAATAAAAAATATAAAAAAGGTTTAATGAAAGAGAAAAAAAAATTTTAACCCCTGAACTTCATATAAAATTTTAATTATAGATTTTTTTTTTTGTAAATCTAAAATAATTTAAGGATAAATTTGTAATTTAACCTTCGTAGAATTTTTATTATTCAATCACAGAAGAAGGATATTTTTGAAAAAAAAATAAAAATTTAAAGGCATTTTAGTCTAAAACGCCGGTAATGTTACAATACCTAAGAGAAGGGAGGTAATGACATTCCCGGTAATATACCAAAAAAATCTACTATTAGTAATAAAACATTACCGGGAATGAGATTTCCGACCAACCAAACATGGGATTATGTGATTTGAACCAAACACCCCTAAAGGTGTTAATGAAAATGAACAGTGAGGACCGAAGAAGAAGGGATTATCATGGTCAATTTTTCTAATTGTCAAAACAAAACACGTGAATTTTTTATATTTTAATTATCAATTTAGATATTCGTTAATAAACCAAAGGGAGTTAATGATTAAGAGATTAAAATCGATCGAATTGATAATATAAGATATCAAAACTATTTTTTAACCAATGCTCAAAATTGGGCAAATTGAAAATATTAGAGACTACTGGTATAGTTTACCCTTTTCTAAATCATAGCCAATGCTTCGCTATTATTTTGATCAGACTCTGTTAGAAAATTAATGATGATTTTAACATGATATTTTTATTTTTATTAAAATTTTATGTTATTTTTTATTATCAATAACAAATTTTTTTAAAAAAAATTACTTTATTAATAAGATGATGACACATTATTTTTTATGAGTAATTATATTTTGACTATTTTGACTATTTTGTGAAATTTCTCATGTTCTATTCTCTTTACCTATACATATAAAATTTTCTTTGATACTATTCTCATAAGATAATGATACGTGTTATCATCTTATTGATCGAATAAAAATAATTAAAGAAAAAGTCAAAAATGGTTTGAGTACGATATTGAAAAAAATAATTAAGTGACCAAACATAGACGTAATAATAAATGATTGACTAAACAAAGAGTTCACGAGAAATGCTCACGTGCGACAATATTAATATAATGTTATATAAGATGTTATCGATTTTGTTATTGTTTAAATAACAAAACCGATAAAATATGACCAGAAACATTATTAGGCGCTACTGATTTTGTTATTATTGGCGTTTTAGCGGATTTAATAAAAATGACCGGAAACATTATTAGACGCTACCAATTTTATTATTGTTAAATATTTTTATCAGAAATGTTAAAAAATTAATGTTTTAAGTAAAAATAATAATATTTTAAATAATTTTTTTACTAATTTTATTATTTAAATAATAATAAAACCAATAATACTTTATTTTAGTCCTACTAAAATTATTAATTGAAAAAAAGCATATGCTGATTTATGTGGCCAAGCATGTACAATTCTTTAACACGTATCGCCACCAGCGCATATTTCGTTTAGGAGGGATCGAAGTCAAAACGTTTCGTAAATTGGTTGGACCACGTCATCTCCCTACTTACGGCACATGATGCGCCATCGTAGATCGCGAATCCCCTCCTTTTTCTTTCTCCAAAAAGCTCCTTTAATCCAGCTATCTATTTAATGCCTTCTTGAACGCTTCTCCTTCCCCCTTGCATTGTTTGATTACTTTGGATCTGGTAATGTCCGATTATTTTCCTGTTCTGTTCTTTATTTTGTCCTTTTTCCCCCCTTCAAATTCTGTTAATACTGCGTTTGCTATTTCATGTCGATTACGGCTTTTCTTCTACCTGGGTTAATTTCAGCTAAGATCTGCAATGTGTTGTCTCTCTCAGGATTTTAAGACAATGCTGATTATGACTATGAAATCTTTGTCTGTTTCTAATTCATTGTTGTTGGATTATTCCAGAATCGACAGTGCTTTTTGTATTTTTCTGAAGATAAAACATGGAGTGTGAAGATCATATCAATCGAGCTGACCCAACATACGATTGTCTATTGTTTGGTAATTTTCGTTAAAGAAGCTTCATCTGTGTTGTTAATTCATTACATGAAAAATGTGAACCTTTTAAGCTAACCTGTGTTTTACTTATTTCTACTTGATCCGTTAAATAATTTCTTTTTTACAGATTTAGATGACACGCTTTACCCTCTGACATCTGGTTTGTCCAAGGAAGTTATCAAGAACATTCAAGGTTTTGTTTTTACCTTTGTCCATTCACATTGTGAAAATGTTTGCTTTCTCTTGAAATTCATAACCTTTTTTTTATACCATTTTCTAGAATACATGATTCAGAAGCTTGGAATGGAGGAGGAAAAAGTTCCTGAATTATGTGTTTCCTTATACAGGCAGTATGGCACGACAATGGCTGGCTTAAAGGTAAAGCCTATCATCACATCCTTGTAAGAATGTTTAAACTACGAAATTAGATCAATTCTTATGACTTTCCTTTTCTTACAGGCTATTGGTTACAACATCGATTACGATGATTTTCATAGGTACTGGTTTTTTTCCAATTCATGTTTTTGAACAATGATGATTCTGTATGTGGTATAAGGTTCTAACATTTTCCTTTCCATACAGTTTTGTTCATGGGAGATTGCCTTATGAATTGCTAAAACCTGACCCTTTTTTGAGGAATCTCTTGCTTAGCCTGTCTGTTCGGAAAGTTGTAAGAATCTCGATTCTTCTCTATGACTTATTGTTCGTGATGATCATTTATAGGTTTCCTTGTGACTTTTGTTACTGTAATTTGTATACAGATTTTTCACGAATGCGGACAAGAATCATGCTGTCACGGTGCTTAACAGGTTGGGATTGGAGGGTTGTTTTGAAGTGATTATATGCTTTGAGACCCTGAATCCCACAAACAAAGACGATTCTTCGGAAAATGCTTCCACCGAAATCTTTGACTTTCTTACATACAGTACTTGTCCCGATTCAGAGCTTGAACTTCCAAGTCCTAAAGTTGTGTGCAAACCTTTAGAAAAAGCGTATGAACAAGTCTTTGAGATGGTCAGCATCAACCCCAAGAAAACGGTAAATCAATTGATAGATCCCTTTACTTTTCGGACTGCATTCAAGCCATTGGAATGTGAATTGAAGAACTTCTATCATTGTTTCATTGTCTTGTTTTGCAGTTGTTCTTCGATGACAGCATCCGCAATATTCAGACTGGTAAACGTATGGGCCTTCACACCGTATGGGTAAGCTACCAATTATCTAACTGCAATTTTTTTGTTGCGTTGCTTTATTTAACATGCCTGTGTTCGGCATGTCCGTATTCTACACTCACATTCAAGTTCAAGCACTATAGGGTTTGCTCACCAGTTTCCCAATATACCAATATAGGTGGGAACTTCTCAACGAACCGAAGGTGTGGATTATGCACTAGAGAGCATTCACAATATCAGGGAAGCATTGCCGGAGCTCTGGGAAGCAGCAGATGAGAAGGTTGAGAACATTCTGCATGCTGGGGAGGTACCTGTTGAGGCAACAGTTATAGCTTAGCTCTTAGACCATAAAGCTTACATTTGGTGTGTTTTCACCACTCTTTGTAACATGTAGAGTGGAGTTTTATTAGTTATGATATCTGAATTTCGATACATATTCAAACATCGTGATATGATATTTGATCTATGAATATATGAAAAAACAAATTCTAGACTATTCTGCAATTCATGGCCGGAACTGTTACTCGTCACCGAAGTTGATTTCTAACCGGTTTCCAACCTGAAAAGGCATTGATAACTCTCCTCTTCCGTCCGTGTAAAGTCCCGTGGCCATCCACATTTACAACAAAATCCCTATGATAACTAGATCGAACCATATCTGTCACTTTCTTATGAGCTCCTGATTCAATGTAACCTGTTTGAGCCCTGCCCATGTACTTTCCTCTCGAACATCATCCTTTAAGGATCATCCCGGCCAACAGTACCTTCAAATATATCGAACTGAGCAGAGAAAAGGAAGAGTACCTCTCGAAACCTTGTGACAAAGAGTGGAACATTGTATATCCCGTTTGTGACCCCATGGATGAATAACTCTGGATTTATTCCATTCCTCTGATCAGTTTCAGAACTAGCACTGGTTTGTCTCACTGTGTAATCTGGGAGGTTCTTTAGCCATTGCAAGCAGTTAACAACCACCACTTCATCTTTCTTAATCTTTAGTTCCTCAAGTTGGAAGGTCTCCCATTTATATGCTATCACGTTGTACTCGAATGGAACATTGAATCTCTCATGGTGCCTTTTCAATCGATGCTGTCTCTTCCACCCTTTCTGCAGGTTGGGAACCTGGTTGCGGAAACTTGTTACTAGTAATACGAAGATGTTAAAGTTCTCCAGCCTGCGCTGGATAAAACAAGGCCATTAAGACCCGTTGCAAATGCCAAAACCAACAATATGAAGGGTGGTTGCCTTTTCAGCCATTTCCATTATCGTCTTATTTGCATACAAATCTGACATCTTAAAGGGGCATGCTAAAATATAAACTCCGTAAGCTTTTGAGACATTAGCAGCCAATGTCCTGTCGCTCAGCAGATGTGCATAAAATGGTGCCCCCATGACATCCAAACGTATCTTAAGGGCATCAGCAAAGTACTATGCCAATCTTTGTGTTCCATCTCCAGAATCAGAAGAGTTCTGGCTTATTTGTTTTAAAAGCTCTTTGGCAGTCCTTTGGTCATTTATGGCTACGATTGTGCACATTGAGTAAGAAGACTATAAATCCACCACTTCACTTTTCTTGTCGGATTTCTTCTTCTGACAAATCGTTTCTCTGTCATTAGACCCTTTTACCCGCCCATCCTGCTGCAGTTCCAATTAAGAGAACACTCTGGAGAATCCTCATTTTCACTTTTGCAAAGCAGTACATTATCGAACATCTTCAACTGCGACTGCTCCGAACCCTCAAGAGAAAGTGCAGATTGGTTGTTGATCCTACCTTCTTCCACATCCTCACGCTCATATTCTTTTCCTTCCCCTTGACCCTGAAGACTTTGATGGGTCACTTTTAGAAGCTGAAAACACCTCATCAACATTGACAGATGATGATTTACTAGCTTCCCCAAGCTTTTTAATGGCTTTTCTTTGTAAATCTGGAAACAGAGGTTCTTTCAAGAGAACCAACAAGAGAAGTTCAACTGTAAAAGGAGTTGAATTCACCTTTTTTTTTTACTGCAATGGGTGAGATTAGAATCATGGCCTACGACTTCATAGAAGGATCTTTAAGCTGCTTGGAGAGCCAAGCAATCCTATATAACATGCAGACCTTTTCTTCAAGATCTTCCTCCATTAGCATCTCACTTATGTATTTGAACATTTCATTGGCGAAGATGAATCGACGGGAGACTCCGGACTCTCTTTAGATCCATTATCAAGGTTGTGATTTGGATACACACCACGATCAAATTTGAATCCATACATGGAACTAGGAAAATCTTGGAAAAGGGTATCCATAGAAACTTAAAAGAACTCTTGTTGATGGCCAAATTCATGAAAGAAGCTAAAACTGAAAGAATTTTGCTAGAATCAAACATGAAGGTGGGTCTTCAATTATAATGTTCAAGCTTTGAGGTTTCAAAGTGAAGCTTCTGGGGAAGTTGACTTTTATGGAGGGCAAGCTTAGATCGTTAGCAAAAGTAGCTTGGGGCACAATATATTTGTCTCAGCTGGAAGGAAAATTTAATCTTTTCGATCCCTTTACAATGCTCAAAATTGAGATTTAGTTTCTATACTTTGATTTGGTCTTTACTTTTTAAAATATCATTAATTAGCCTGGTATTTAGTTAGCCTATCCCTGTCGGTGGTGGGCTTCTTGACATGCATTGGATGTTGTCATGTAAAAAGTTGGGTGAGTTAAGTAGCCGATTGTAAGCTGGAATGGGGCTTGTGCAACCAGCCAACCAGGGTACTTAACACCTGATTTTGATCCATACCAACATACCTTTAACTTTACGTATAAATAAATATAATATCCATTAACAAGCAGCAAAACATCCATTTTTGTGTATGGTTCAATCAACTATCCCGACATGAGCCTACCTCTGTACTGCTAAACCTGCTATATATATATTTATGGTGCTGTGTTGAAAATGATGTAATTTAATTGGGGAAGTTGGGTGGGGGAGTTGGAATCAACGTACACCTTGCTTAGTCTAGTATAAGAATACTCATCCATCGCACTCTATACCCTTGTTTACACTTGTTCTCCTAATAGTCCTATAAAGGTGACACCCATTTCACTGCCATCGGCCATCTCCCAGCCCCGACGTTGCCTCTCCAAGTATGTCTGGTGTGTGGCTGTTCGATAAGAAAGGTGTGGCTCGCTTGATATCCAATCCTACCAGAGAATCCTTCGAGCAAAGAGATCCGATATATCCCGGGACCTCAACCGCACCCGGGACTCGACCACGGGTCCTGGTCTACCTCCCAACCAATCATGTCATCAAATCCTATACCGAGCTCGAGCAGCGGCTGGCTGAACTCGGCTGGACTCGATATAATAACTCCAGCCAACCTCACCTTCTCCAATTCCACAAATCAGAGATCTCGGCTCACCTCATTTCACTCCCCACAAACTTCGCCCATTTCAGGTCCTTCCATATGTACGACATTGTCGTCAAAAACCGGTCCTTCTTTGAAGTACGTGAAACCTTTTACAAAATGCTTTCTTCTCATGTTGAAGTTGTTGATTCAAGGACTGATGCTGGGTTTTGAGTTATTATCTCATTCGTTTTGCTTTCTCATTTCCAGTTGGTCTCTATTTCTCTTTTATGATATATTATATTTTAGTAGCGTTGTTGCAATGCAGGCAGCTAGTCGACCGTTGGCTTATATATGTAGTCAGCGTTAGATATGTTTCCGTCAACCTTGACCTACGATGCTAAGGGTCTATAGTCATAGACGTGTGTTCTGATCAGAGCTGAAACTTGTCATGCATGCTGCCGCATTGCTGCAAGGGGCAGCCCAAATCTTCTTTATCCTATTTCGATTCTGTTTGACATTCTTTGTCCTTTTTTGCATTTAGATTCACGCGATGGATCATGTAGTTCGATTGGAATGAACATGGTTTCATTGGACCTTAGCTATAGTAAATGTTTACTGTTATGTTGGTTCAAATTTGTTTGGATTTCAACCATCAAAGTTAATTATGAACCCAAGACCAGGTATGGATCAACAATCCTACCCCGGCAAAATTTTCAATTTTTATATAATTTAAATATTTTAATTGATAATCTAATTTCTTATCTCAAAAATTTTATAATTTTACATTTCAAAATTTCTATATAACCCTCCCCCATAACATGAAATTGTATGTTCGTTCTTGTCCATTACTTGGTTCATGGTTTTGAACATTCCAAATTTATCCTAAAACTATGACTTATTCTAAATTTATCCTACTAACGCGATCACACTAAATCAGTGGAACGTTGTGAGTTTGATTGTATTCTTCTGCACTTAAGTTTGAGATTTTTTTCTCTAATCTGATCTGCTATCCCTTTTTGCTTTGCGATCTGTTGCATGATAATGTATAAATTGATGGATGTGTTCATTCTGCGGCACTCAAAATTACTTAAAAAAACTGGTTGAATCCGTATGACATGGGGTACTAAATTTTGTAGTTTTAAATCATTACCATTTCCATCCATATAGTTGTTTTGAAGTTCAAATGTAGTGAAACATCATCACAACTATTCTTGAAAGGTTGTTTGTAGCTTATTGAGCAAACGATTCAATCACTTAGACCACTGGGTTATTACAAAAACAAAGATGGTGCAGTCGCTTCATCCCACGACAATCAGGGCCAACTGAAAATATAGGGTTCAAAATCCAAAATGAGGATCTATGCTTCAAAACAAATGTTAAATTTTGGCTTATTGCACTCGCAACTCGGTTATCCGATCCTAAAGAAAGGTCATAAGTTCCCAGTAGGATGCCAAGTTCAGTTCTTTTTCACAGCGGCTGCCTCGATGATATCGATGAACTCGGGCTGCAGTGGGCACGGTCAAGACGAGGCATCAAATAAATGAATCAATCAGTGGAATAATGGGAGAAATAAAAGATCACTAACCTTTAGAGAAGCTCCACCAACTAAAAAGCCGTCGACATCTGGTTGTGCAGCCAATTCCTTGCAGTTAGCCCCATTAACCGAACCTTCATTTATTTTCCAACGGATGCAAAATCACATTAAATCATCATAGCACCATGATAAGATCAATAGGCAGTAAAGTAAAATACCTCCATATATGATTCTAGTAGATGCAGCTACTTCAGCACCGACATTGTCATGAAGCCATTTCCTCAACTCACAATGAACCTGGAATATACAATCACAGTTTTCTGAGTAAAACAATAGAGGACACGATTACCCTTTACACAAGTAAAAGAGCAATCAATCAGAGACAATGACAAGAGCTTAGATACATGAATCCCAAATCCATATGCTACAATCGGTACCGTTATATAATAGCAATCAATCAGCATTTATGAGAGGACAGAACAATTAACAGGCATGCAATGCAAAGATGAAGACTCGTCCCAAACGATATTTGCAATAGACTCCCAACTTACTTCCTGAGCCTGAGCAGGGGTCGCAACCTTCCCGGTACCAATGGCCCAAACAGGTTCATAAGCCAGAACAACATTTTCCCAGTTTGTTACTTTCTCTGCAAAAGAGCATTAACAGTTAAATAAATCAAAATGAAGAAAATGCAAAATTCTAATCCAACTCGGTTAATTGCTTTTCAAAAGAAAGTACCGGTAATTGCTTTGGTTTGTGCAGCAACAACGGCCATGGTTGAGCCTGATTCTCGCTGTTCAAGAGTCTCTCCAATGCAAGCAATCACTTTCAAGCCTCGAGAAAGTGCATAAGCTACTTTGTCTCCGACAAACTGCAGAGACAAGCATTTAAAACATAAACAAGCAGACATGAATTTACTAGTAATAATCATAATAACTATTTCGAGTCACTAAAACAAATAACAAAAACAAGCCTTGAAACTAATGAAATGATAGGAATCTAATCGCATTGTTTACCTCATTGGACTCATTCAAGAGAGCCCTCCTCTCAGAGTGACCAATAATAACCCATGGAATCCCCAAATTAACAAGCATCTCAGCACTGTCAAAAGAGTAGCAATAAGTTGCTAGCCTACATAACATTAACAACAATGCTAAAAATAGCTTAACATAAAATCATACCTAATTTCACCGGTAAAAGCCCCACCTTTGCGAACCCAACAGTTCTGGGCAGCAACATGGAAATCAGACCGTAACAGGCTTTTCACAACAGTGAGAAACACAAATGGAGGGCTCACAACAACCTCTGCCACAACATAAATACTAAGTTCTCCAGTTCAAAGTATAAGTTCGTTAAAGTTTTCAGACAAATAAAGAAACCAACCGACAACATCCTCAGATGGAACTTCAGCTTCATTCAATGTGGTCGCAATCCTCTTAACTTCCTCAGTTGTTCCATTCTGCAACAAAATTAACCATTTATATTGATTCCAACTAGAATTTAAAGCAACCAGATCTCAAAACGTAAGACCTATTTAGACTACACATCAGTTTAAAACGTTTTCAGTATCGAACAATAGCTGAAAACAGACAGATCTGTTCATGTTGAAACACATATCAATTGAAGTTTTGACTGAAAAAGGAAGGAACATACGCATTTCCAGTTGCCTCCAACAAAGAATTTGCGGGCCATGAAAAAGTTGTGTGTTTGGCGATGGAAACAAGAGAACCCAAAGCTCCACTGTTCTGGAATAAGATTGTATGGAAACAGTTGAGGGATCTCGCCCTAGTATTTTATAGCCAGGAAGATGAGTAATACACGTGACACTCATTTTCGTCCTATTTATATATATATATATATATATATATATATATATTATATAATTTAAAAATACTTTTAAAATATATATATATAATATAGTTTTAAAAATATTTATATATTATATAGTTTTTAAAACATTTTGAAAATAAATATAATATATAGTTTTTAAAATATTTTTAAAAATATATATTATATAGTTTTTAAAATATTTTAAAAATAAATATAATATATAATTTTTAAAACAAAGTATATATTATATAGTTTTTAAAACATTTTAAAAATAAATATAATATATAATTTTTAAAACATTTTAAAAAATTTATATATTAAATATTTTTTAAAACACTTTGAAAATAAATATGATATATAATTTTTAAAACAATTTTAAAAACGTATATATTATATAGTTTTTAAAAAATATTTTGAAAAACATATATATATTATATAGTTTTGAAATCATTTTGAAAACTTATAATATATAGTTTTAAAAACATTTTTGAAAACTATATAATTTTGAAAACATTTTTTAAAATATATATAATTTTAAAATACTTTTGAAAATATATATTATATAGTTTTTGAAAAAAAAATTATATATAATAATATTATTATTATTATCGTTGTTATTTATTTTTATTTTTTATTTTATTATTTTTATTTTTATTTTATTTTCCTGATCTATTTTTGAGTCCATTAAGTCCCGGTTTGGAGATAGTTAGGCCTGACCCAGCCCGTAGTCAACATCCAAAGAAGCTAGGGTTTACACGTATCAGTCACAGGTGCCGCACAAGTCAGGGGAGCCGTGCAGTCAAGCATGCAACGGTCAGACGTTCCTGTCGAGATTCCCGGGACTAACCCATCCCGGGATGGTCGGCCAACCACGAACAATGTTAGGCCCAAAAATTACGAGAACGACCCCGTCATCACTGGAAACAACCCTGTTGGGGGACTATATAAATACCAACAGAACCATCAACGGGGAGGACCCACAGAACCGAGAAATCTCATCGCAAAACAGAACAACATCAACAGAATCAAACCACAACCAGACGGCCAACAGAAAACCAGAGTACACAACAGTAAGCCAAACTGCAGAATTCAAAACACAGACAACCAATATCATCGACACACAAAGCCATCACAAAACAACCATCATCGACAGAGAACCCACAAGGGAACCAATAAACCGTGAACCATCGCAACCCATCAACACCAAAATATCAAACCAGAACCCACCACAACAACCAAAAGCCGAAACAAAAACACACAATAACACGAAAACACAAAAAAACGATCCAGAACTGAGCAAAGCAGGAAGTAAACACGTCGAGAAAGTGAAAGGTCTCACCGGATAAAGGTAAAGGCAGAGTCTTTTTTTGTAGATCTACGCGGTTCGGGCTTGGTTACGGTGAATCGGGGTTCGGTTTTGGTTTGAGCGGGATAAGGGGGTCATTTGGAATTATTTTGCATATTTTACAATTTGACCCCTAAATTCATATTTTTTTTTGTTTTTTTATTATTATGTTTTTTTAATTATTATTAGAATTATTTATTTTTACTTCATATTGTTTCCATTTTATTACTTTTTAAATATTTGTTTATGCATTTATTTAATTTTTCTTATTTATTTATTTATTTATTTTTATTTTTATTTCTTTGATTTATTTTTTATATTATTATTATTTTTCTATTCACTTTTTTTCCTTTGATTTATTTTCTTTATATTACTATTATTTTATTTTTATTCTTTTTTATTTTATTTCTTTTTTCTTTTTTTCTTTTCATTTTTTTACTTATTTTCCTATTTAACATTCTTTTTGTCTTTTTCATTAATAGTTTCAATCGATCAAAGGTAAGCAATTTGAATTGGGTTTTTAAATTTTAATTTAAGTTTTCAATTTTCGCAATTAAAGACAATCGATAAATTAATTGGTACCGAAAGGGCGGTTCAAGGGTGCTAGTCCTTTCTTGACCGTAACCGACTCCCGAACCCGACATGTTTTTGGTACAACGCAGATCAGGTAAGATGGTGTCCGACCTATCTAAATTCGTTTTAAAGTTGTTGGTGGCGACTCCAATTTGTTTAATCCAAGTCGAAGCCCAATACCGGGGCCCAAACCGAAAGACAGTTCCGACAATACCATTAAAATCCGTTTTTACTAATTTAGTCCCTAAGATTCCAGTTTTCTTTTTCACTTACAAAGTTTAAATATACTTTACATATCAATATGCTTGTTACAGTGATTTTTTTTCTTTTCAAAAGGTACCAAAAGTCTTCATACTTAAAAATAATAATCAATGGGGGTATTTCACATTTTTTTTCCACTTAATGTGATTTTCTAATTAAAAAAAAAGTTAAATGTAGTCTTTTGACTAACGTTTTTTGTTGTTAACCAACGACTCTATTACTTTATGCTGACATGACACGTTAAACAAGTCAAAATCTTTTTCTCTCAATCTGGCCCTCATATTTTTTCTCTTCTATTTTGGTCAATAAACTTTAAAGTTTTAATTTAATCACTCAATTTTTGGATTGTTCATGTTTTATTCATAATAATTTATTTTATTAATATTTATATATGATGTGATATTTATGTATGATGTGATTTTTTTTTCTTTTCAACCAAATATTTTTTTCTTTCATTACAGTGAACCAAATTGAACTTGTAAAAATTGAAAAAAATGGGGATGAGCTATTTGATTGAGTAATGAAAGAAAAAAAAAAGAAATATTTAGTTGAAAAGGGAAAAAATGAAACGACAGTATAAAGGAGGAGAGTGGAGATTTAGAAGTATATAAAGCATCGGAATATTTTTTAATTTAATTATAATTTTAGAAATATTTTTTGTTTCAATATAATTTTAAAATTTTAAAATTATTTTAATCATATATTAATAAAATAAGAATAATAAATGTCACATCATACATAAATGTTAATAAAATAAATCATGATGATTAAAATATGAGTAATTCAAAAGTTGAGTGATTAAATTAAATTTTTTAAAGTTTAGTGACCAAAATAGAAGAGAGAAAATAGGAGGGCCAAATTGAGTTATTTTCTTGATTTGGAAGGCCAGATTGAAAGAAAAATAGGATTTTAGCCCACTTAATGTGTCACGTTAACACAAAGTAACGGAACCGTTGGTCAATGACGGAAAACGTTGGTCAATGACGGAAAACATTGGTCAAATAATCTCATTGAATGCAAAATAAAATAGAGGACCACAATTGTTTTTTTTAAAGTACGAGGACTTCGGTACTCTTTTGGGTTTTTTCAATTCAGTTTACACAAAATTGTTGATTTCGTCTGTCACTACATCCTTATTTTCATCGTCATTTTCCTCTAATTATTGTACGAATACAAAACAAGTATGAATAGGGATGGGTATGAGACCTGAATCCGATGGGTTCTAACCCGACCGAGTTGATTTTTTTTTAAATTTTAGTTTTGGGTCGGGTCGAGGTTTTTAAAGGTGATGTTCAGGTCGGGTTCGGATTTAGAGTGAAAAATATTTAACCCGAAAAAATATAATTTTACCTTACATATTTATGAATAATTACAATAATACCCCTCTATATATTATTTTTTTCAATTAAATTACTATTTTTATTGAATAAAAATAATATTTTTATTATTATTTCGGGTCGGGTCGGGTCGAATTCGGATTTTATCTCAAAAAATAAGGTCGGATTCGGATCGGGTGGAGTGTATATATATTTTTCGGGTCGAGTCAAGTCGGGTGAAGGATGTAAAATCTTCGGGTCAAATCGGTTTGACTGAAACCCGACCCATGCTCACCCGTAGGTGTGAATTTGTAACTATTTTTCATTTAAGATGTCAAGATATTTAGACACTGTTAATTAAAAGGATGGGAAAAATGAAATTAATGGATTTCAATCCAATCTAATCTTAATAAAGTTAGATTTTTTAAATCAGATTTTAAATAAATCAAGATTTTTTGGTTAAATTATTTAGAGTGATGATAATAAATTAATCTCGTTAGCTATTATTTATCTCTTTTGATTTGGATAAAGAATCATGGTCATTGATCGATCTTTTCTATTGTGAGAGAATGTTGGTCATGAAAAAAAGAGAAAGATTGTGCGGGGATTTTGGAGGTCATGATTCTTTCGTAGTTATTAGGTATTTATAATACTTCTAGCTGATTGTATTAGACATAAAATTATAATGATTATTTGTAGGTAAGTAGACTAAATAGATTTTATCGTCAAATGTTAAATTTCGATTTAGCAAGTCACATTAATCTACTAGAAGTTTTATGTATATATTATAGTTGGTTCAAATATTTGTGTCCGAAAGATGTAGACTTTCGAGAATAGAAATCCTCTACCCCATGTTGATACCTCTATATATGCCTCTTAACTTAGATTCTTGACACATGTTTTATTTAATAAGTTCTTTTAATCCTTATTTGTTTTAAACTTGAACTTAAACTTGAATTCAATTATAAAAGAAACTTAAATTTGGAAATAAATTTTGTTAAATAAATAAAAATAATGTATTTGAAAAAGTGAGTAATAACAAAACAGACATAAAATGATATATTCAATCACAAATTATTATTGAAATTGATTTATTTTATCTTTTAAATAAAATAAACGATTTCAACGATTAACAAATTATTGTTATTTCTTAAGGTATCGGGTTCGAACACAATGTCCATATATATATATATATATATATATATATATATGAGTATTCATGGGTAAATAGTTGACTTTTTCGAACATGTACTATTATGTATTCACCTCAAACTAATAAAAATAATTTATATTATTTTTTAAATCTATTTTTTGAATTTAATATATGTATCAAATTTAATAAATTGACATGGACTACTATATATTCACCTCGTACTAATAAAAAGTCATTTATATTATCTTTTAGATTTATTTTTGAATTTAATATTTTTATCGAACTTAATAAAATATAAGAAACCTATATTTAAATCACATCAAAAAATCTAGAGAAGAAATTAGATTTGATTTTAATTAAGTTTTATTTTTAAAATTTAAGATAATTGAATTTAGATTCTTCCACTCATTGAACAATTTTATTGAATAAAAATATAATATTATAAAATATCACGATCATTTAATTTAATTTTTAATCTTTATATAAATAAAATTTAAAATTAATTTTAAAATATAAATAGAAGCATTTAATACATTAAAACAAACAGAAATTAAAAAATTATTGAAAAAATCACGTGTCAATATTTAGAACATAGGCAGGCATAGGCATAGATTAAAAAACCAAACAAAACAAGGCATTGCAATTGCTGCTGTTGCACTCTCAGGAGTAGAAGCACTTCCTGTGCACTATAGATGGACCAGATTCATCATACTCTGCCTTAGCAATCCACATCTGCATTCCAATCAAAATGAGGAAATGTATGAATGGTGTTCAGTTCATGTGCAACCGATTAACCAAACTTATGAGTAGATAATTCCTGCTGGAAAGTGCTGAGAGATGCTAAGATGGAGCCCCCAATCCACACTGTATTTCCTTTCGGGTGGAGCCACCACCTTAATTTTCATGCTGCTTGGGGCCAAGGCAGTGATTTCCTTGCTCATCCTGTCAGCAATTCCTGGGAACATGGTAGTTCCACCACTCAGAACTATGTTTCCATACAAATCCTTCCTGATGTCCACATCGCACTTCATGATTGAGTTGTACGTGGTTTCATGTATGCCTGCAGCTTCCATTCCTATCATGGAAGGCTGGAAAAGGACTTCCGGGCACCGGAAGCACTCACCCCCAATGGTTATCACTTGGCCGTCAGGCAACTCGTAGCTCTTCTCGATGGAAGAGCTAGTTTTGGAAGTTTCTAGCTCTTGCTCGTAGTCGAGTGCAATATATGATAGCTTCTCTTTCACGTCCCTCACGATTTCACGCTCTGCTGTAGTGGTGAATGAATAACCACGGTTAGTCAAGATTTTCATGAGGGCGTAAACAGAGTTTTAAATAGCGTTCGCGGTTGAATATGCTCACCATCTGCCATCTTGTATTAACTAAAACGTCCGATTTTAGATCAACATCACAACAATAAGAGAAGCAATTCACAAACCACAACTCAACCAGCATGATTTGAATCAGTTATGAGCCAAGATATATGACCAAATCATCCACGTTCACCAAGAGATTTGAAAGTTAAAATTCAAGACAAAATTCCTAGTCCACTATAACTAATCCATCACAAGCATTTTGTTCAGGAGAAAGCTAACACTACTTATAGAATAGAACCTTCTCATTTTTTTAGCCTTTTCATTGATAAAACAATTAGAATCGCAAAAATAAGGAAGAAAAAGAAAAGCTCATTCAAGGATGGTTATCAAAATTGAAATCGCAAAACATCCGTATATGGCATCATCAGAAACTAGAAAACGCAAATTACCAAACATCCGTATATCGCAAAAATATGTATTTATTAGGAGCCATAACTTAATATGTAATAATATAACTTTAAAGATCAATATCTAATCTGTCACCGTCATCATCATCACTACCACCACCATTGAACAAAGCCCTATCTCTCCCTTTCTTTATCTGAGTTTCCGTTTTCCCTTTCCCTTTCCAATTCCAATTTCCACCCACATTTTCGTCATCACATAATTTCAGTTTGATTATTACTAACTGTTTCTTCTAACTTTCTAGCTTCGATGACCGCTCCACTATCAGTACAGTTACGTACACAATTTCTTTTACGTCCGGTGGACCCAGGACAAAATTTCAGGGGTTGTACAAAAAAACTCTTATAAATTTATTTTAGAAATTTCAATTGAGGTTTTCAGTTTCCACATAGGCACAACCCTCAGCCCTTGCTGGCAGTTCACGGTTGCCCTTCTAATCTTCAATCGAGGTTTTCAGTTTTCATAGCCTTCGAATTTTTGATCTAATATGTTGCCAATTGCCATATCCCAATTCCCATAAAACTAAAAACATGTACTTGATTCATGGGCTTAAGGTTTGTTTTTTAGGCTTGATCTCTTTTTTTTTTTTAATTTTAAATAGGATATTAATTTTTTCCTATAATAAAGAGCAATAGTTACACACAATATTAAGAGTGGCACTTGTATTAATTAAAAAAAAATAGAAAAATTAACACTAAATAGACAATTTTAAGGTGTTGCTTGAGACACCCAAGACAACTATAAGGTCCGCCCCTATGTCTAGATGCAGCGATGCTACCATTTTTGTATAATTATCGTGTTGATTTTTCTTGAACTAATAAAAAATATTAGATTGACATGAGCTTATAAGCACAAACATTTGTAAAATAAACTTTATATCAGTCTAAATATTAACATGTTATACATTAATGTCATTTTCAAATTTTTTTCTCTCGAAATTATCAGAAGAATTGCTTTATTCGTTGATGCAAGGCAGGAGCCTTTGGTCCCTGCAAAGAGGAAGAGCAAATATCCCCTTTGATTCCCTTTCTTTTTCTTTTGTTTTAAGCAAAAAAAACTTAGGATCTATCTCACGATGATGCTTAATATAAATATGAAATCATTAGATTGGGAAATTCCCACTAGCTCGGACGAGTCAGAATTTGTGTAAGAAGACTGAAAAACACTGTTTTTGTTCATGTAATCTAGTGCCTAACCTTTTGGATATATATATATATATATATATGTACACAGACAAATACAAAAATTTATGTCAATATGAGTTTAAGAAGTTATATTAAAAATGCGTTGCATACGGATTATAAGGTCTACAATTCCTCGATCCATCTCTAGAAATGCATGGCCTCGAGGTGAACAGTTTACAATTGCATGGGGACGCCGATGAAGTTTGGAGTCGAGTTGAATCAAAACCATAAGCGAGAGCTAGGTGACATACCTTAAATTCTATTATATTAACTTCCCGTGCATGATAGAATAGGAATGGGAGATGGGATATTTCAGAGAGGAAAATTAGCTTATATTAATGTCAGATAACAGATTCCTTAACTTCACACATAAACAGAGAGAACATATCACTCTGTAAACAAGCTCCATGCAAACAAAATAAACAAACAGATACCTTAATAAAACCCAATATATATATATATATACACTGTCAAACATGCAACATCAATTCTGCCAATCTTAGTGTTTTGTGACGTTGAAGCTTGTGAGTGAGTCAAGGTGATCAAGGGAACACTGCAACTTTTATGTCAACTAATAATATCTGTCATTAAAGCTTTAAACTGCTGTCAATGAAGAAAGACTGAAACCAGCTATAAGAGATGATTAGTATTAGAAGAGTTGAGACCTGCTAAATCTGTCCAACTATTTCCTCCCCAGTACTGATTATTCTCCGAAACGCCACCCATCACTGATCTTGATAGATTCAGCCCTTGGTTGTTGTTGTTGTTCTCCATTTTTACTGGATCCAGCTGACAAACCCTAGAGATTGAAGCTATGGAACGGAGAAGCTGGTTTTCTCCCACCATGGAAGATGATCCTTCCATGCTCTCACTTTGAAATGAGTATAAACCATTGGTTGGCTCAAACAAAGGGAACTGCTGATGAATTCCTATCTGAAATCCCATCTCGGATTGTGCACTGCCAGTTGTTGTCCCTTGAATTCCGCTAAAGTTTAAGCCAATACTTCCCAAACCAAACTGAGGAAAACTTTGCAAAGAAGCCATGAAGGGTAAATGAGGCGTTTTCTGTGACAAATGACCTGTGATTTCAGAAGGAATATTAACAGCATTTGTTGAATTCGAACCACCTTGTCCTTGCATCTCGGCAGAAGCAGTGGATTTCGAGCTGCTACCGCTACTGCTCTTGTTTTTCTTGTTTCTTCGGCATCCTCCACCGACCGGAACATTTCTAAGGGCGCCCCCTCTAGTCCAATACCGCTTACACGTCTTGCAAAAGTGACGTGGCTGTGAAAGGCTATAGTTATTGTAGTAACAAAATTTGGTGTTAGTGGACTCACACCTCGGACATTTCAGTGCTGCTTCTGGCTGTGGAATCTTTGCTAGCCTGGCTCGATCAGCCATTGAAGCAGGCCTTATGAAGCCTCCGCCACCACCACCAGCAGCCCCAACATGAGAAGGTGGTGGAAGAGGTGGAAGCTGAGGATCTTCACTACCAGTATCAGTTCCATGTTGATGATTATGATGCTACAACCAAAAAACCAAAGTAAATCGTTACAATTGTAAAAAAAAAGAAGAAAAAAATATTTGGTATATTCAGTAAGAAGATCACAAAGGAATAGGAATATTTATCTTTTGAATTTGCTTTACTTTGGGAGCACAAAGTCACAGACTATGGATAGAAATTGATGAAGGAAAAAAACCCTTACCTGCTGCCAGTTGGGAGGGTCTGAATAGATTGAAACAGAAGAGAAAACCATTGTTAATATTTAAAAATTTATTTTATAAAGTTTTATGGGTTGTTTAATAAGGTAGAGAATCCATGCACTAGGGGGAATGCCGGAGGCCAAGAAAGGAGAGAATTAAAGAGAGGAGAGGCATGCAGACGGGAAGAGAGGGCTTTTGTTTTTGTTTATTTTTTATTATCATTATTCCTTCATTCCCTCGTTGCTTTTTGTGTTTATTATATTGCATATATTTATTTAGGGTTTTAGTGGAAGAAGTGTTCCTTCATCTATAAGCTTTCTTTGATCTTTCATGTTGTGGACTGTATTTGTTTTAGTGCTCCAAAAGTGAGTTGATGCATGATGATGCATCGGGAGATATAAAGATAATAGCAAAAGTAATTATCACCCTTTTGCCAATACATGGTGGTGGATTAGTCAAATGGTAGTCATTAGAAAATGAGTGTATTTCTCATTCATGCATGTCTTCGTATCTTATGCTAGCTCATAAGAATGAATATTATGAACATATTACAAATGTGGTACTTGTTCAAAGAGGAAAGCAAAGGTTGAGAATGAATAATGGTTATCATCTTTAAAGCTGAGCTATCGAGCCGACAATCTTTATTGTGTGAAATAACAGGAGCTCTGTCATTTGTTCGGAGATAAGCTCAATTGCTCTTTATATATGGACGTGATTCTATGGTGGTGACGTATGCCTTGCTATGCTCTATTCTATACGTAACTATGTAGTAATTTTCAAATCAAAAGAGAAACACGCATCAACCATGCTACATCATCAATCATTATCTGTAATTTGCTTTCCTTTTATTTCCATCAATTCATACGGCAATCCATTACCCCACTTCATTCATTATCTATTCATCAGAAGAAATAAAGTTTTATTCCCTGTTTATTCATTTAACTGAATTGGTTTTCTTAGTTTGATATTTACTTTTTTTCTACTTTAATATTTAAATTATTTTTTCTAAATTTTCTAAAAGTCAATGTTATTCGTCCATGGTCAATAGTTGAGGTGGTGGTTTAAGGTGAGTTAATAGGTTAATAAAGATGATAAATTGATTGATTGTGATTCACCTCTTATAATTCGAACAGATAATTGTGTTCCAACGGTAAAGATCGAAATTAATAACAATGTCGTTGCTAATTTCTTTATCTATGTCATGAACTATATTATATTTACGTATTACATATTTAGAAATGATATTTTATTTTATTTTATAACTAAAACAAATGATAATTTAAGCATTAAATATTGTAATCCCAATTTCAAATGTAGAAAAAATAGGCATCTTTCTCTTTTTTTAATTACATTTAAAAGTTAATAACGTGGCGATAAAGTGGAAAATCAAAACCACTCTTTTCTTTTCTCCTTTTTCTAATGAGAAGCAATGGTCGGGATTCCAATGCCACAACTGGCCAAGGCCGTAGGGTACCATTGCGTAATATATATAAAAATAAGGCTGATTTCGACAGTGCAGAAAAGGCCTAATACCAACGACACCCCCATTATCTTCCCCTTTAATGCTCTTTCTTTGGTGATTAATTAGCCTTATTAATCTAATTCAATCAGAGTAGTTAGCATCATTAATAATAAACGTAATATTAAAAATATCATGCACATCCATTTTGTTTTACTTCTTATAGTAGTTTATCTCCCCCCATGTGCATGTAGTTTTCTACTTCTCTATATGCATTATTTGAAAACCTTATCACTTTGCTTTGCATGCATGACACTAACTAATAGAATAACTAGTACATGATATATTAGATGCATATAATAATTAATTTAAAGATTTAGATATAGTTCACAATGAAGAAAATGGTGGGTGGTGGGGTTGGAATCTAATTCCCTATTAGTTTTGGACAGGATACGGCCTTCTCTGGTTTTCATGCAAAAAGCTGAGATATTTCATTTCATATTTAGTTGGAAAGGAAAGCAAGTGGGCAGCCTTAACACATTCGCCTAAGTGCACTAGAAGAGGCAAGGCTCAAGGCAGACATGGTTTCCCACTATGCTATGCAACCAGGGACGAGCTGAGTGGTGCAGGGGGATCACACCTTTTAAAAAATTTAAATTCTCTTATATTTTAAGTATTTTCTTCATATTTTCTATTGATTATCAATTTCGCACCTCCTATCATTTTATAACTTCGCACCCTCTAAAAATTTTAGTATAACTTCTTAAGTTTTCTTAAGTTTTCTGAACAAAATTCTTGAGTATGCAACTGTATATAGTCTGATATCAAACACTGAAACACATGTGGCTGCGCCTTATGGGATTTGGTGTTAGTTTCCAGTTTCCACCCCTCAGTCACTGCTAACCAAAACTTTACCCCCTCATAGTTGCACATGCCACTCTGACACCAATAAGATGCTTCACTTTCACTTTCACTTTTTATATTCTATACTACATCTTCCCTCGATCACATAAGGCAAACCCATTGCACATCTGTGCATCATGATCCAAAACCTAACAACAGAAAACAGTACACCCAAAGAGAAGCTCTCATTTTCCTGTCTGAATCTGACCATGATCCATAGGTTCTGTTCTCGGGGAGTTTTGGACATATATTAATAGATTATCATTACTCTACGACCTGCGGTGGTTAGAAGAAAACGACCATAGGTCATGTTTTGTCTTCTTTCCTTCTCTCTCATTATCTGGTTCTGAGTCAACCAACTCTACTCTTTAATATATATACACATGCAGAAATGACACTTCAAACTCAAGTAACCAGCATTGTACTAATGGCTAACATCAGCTAAAAACATTCTCATATCTCGCATTCATGATCATTCGATTTTAAAACAAAGGTCTAATTATGATTTAAACCCCAGTCCCTCTACTATGCTGAAATTTAGAATTTAATCTGTCTGCTATATATTGCCATAATTTAGTCTTCGTATTTCTACAATGATATTAGTAGGTCTGGTTAGTTGTTACTGACATGATTTTTTTTATCAATGTTCGTTCATACAGTAAAAGTCAGGAGAAAATTCAAACAAAATTATTCATTTAGTACTGTAATAATTTAATTGGAATTAAACTAGTAAAGCTCAAAGTTTAACTGAAACTATCAGTTATTAATTTTATAAAATTCTTGATGAGGGGCTTGAGTATGCAATTCAAAGCTCAAACTTGAGTATGTTGGGGAAAAGAAAAGGGAGTGGGGATTCGGATGTTTTTCCCTACAACCAAACAGAAAAAGAAAAAGAAGTCTCAGCTTTACTTTTCAAACTTTATGCCTTTAACATTAATGTTATCAATTGTACTAGATGACGCTACTACAATGAACAAAAACAAGGTGATGCTAGTACTACTTTGTTTATCTATTACTTTTAAAAATGTATTAATAATATATTTTTAGAATGAACACAATTATATTAATAATATAAAACTTTTAAACGGTGTGAGCACAAATAAAATTTTAAGGTGAATATCATTAATAAAATAAATAAATAAAATTCAAATTTCATGATGGACATATGCTCAATCTTATAAAACATTAGATCCACCATTAATTTGGGAGACTGCCAAGAAAGCGTGACATGGATTTCGACATAAAACGATGTATTTTACTAACAGACACGGACGTAAGATTTTATAGTAAGAAATGAATAAATTTATAAAATTTCAAGGATGAAAACAGAATTTTAATAGAAATTTAAAAAAAAAATCTAAAATATATAATGATTTTTATTAAGAGAAACAACTGCTCGCATTCTCCTCTCGATTCATCCATGTTCACCGGGAGATATGGGGTAGGCCGAGAGACATAGCAACTATTGTGGTGAGCTCTCGAGTAAAAGAGGTGGCATTGTATGATGTGGTAGAAAGGTGGTAACTCAATCAATGGTGATAACCAGGGACTTTGAACATGGTGAGGCTCAGTTGTAGGTGGCTGATAGCCCGCATGGGCTTAATGAGTTTAAGGAAAGTTGAGACTCCTTCTCTTTGCTTTCTCTTTCTTCTTCTTTTCCTCCATTTTTTAGGTTATATGGCATCGATCAAAAATGCTACCCTCTAGTAGTGGGATCTGCCCTCATTTGATTAGACTGATAAAGAAAATCGAGTTTAAAAAATAAATTAGCTGACCCTATTCTCATATGTAATGGGATAAGGGGAGGTAAGGTAGTAGGCTGCCCCCAACGTCAGGTTGAGAGCATCTTCCGTGGAAGACCTCCGGCAGTCAGAATTATGAATTGCCTACCGTGGGACTCGATAAGATTTTATTAAAAGAATAGTTTGATGACTAATCCAGACTTTAAGTTTGGGCTTAGGTTTAGATCGACCCAGATAAGATTCGATGCGTTTTCACGCAATATGTTCAAACAATATGTTCTCTGAAATCGTCTAGGTATCTTCCGAAAATTAGAATAATTATGTGAATCATTAATAGAAGAATATAGATTAAATTTGAACGATTTAAACTAAAATTTTTAGGATCAAAATCAACCAACAATTAATGATTAAAAGACCAATAATTTAATTTTTTATATAGGTCAATGGTCGATAGTCAACCATCAATGATTTGAATCATGGGTTAATGATCAATAATTAATCGTCTACTAGGGGTGTAAATGAACCTAGCTTGAACGAATAAGGTTATGTTTATGTTCGTTTATTTATTTTTGAAGTGTTTGTGTTCGTTTATTTATTGTTCACAAACATGTTCATTTAATGTTCGCGAACATGTTCATTTATACGTTAATGAACGTGTTCATGAATATGTTCGTTTAGCATTCATTTAATGTTCGCGAACATATTCGTTTATATGTTAACGAACGTGTTCATGAACATGTTCGTTTAACGTTCATTTAGTGCTCGTTTAACTTTGTTTTAGTGTTTGTTTATCGTTAATTTATATATTTGTTTTTAGTTTCATTTGCAAGCTAAAGAATAATTATAAAAATTACGTCACTGGTGCTTAAACTCTTTAAAATTCATAGTTTAAAATGCAACTTTTATAATGTGTTATATTTAAATCGTATCTTCAATAATATTTAAAATGTAAAAAAATAAAAAGGAAAAGGAGAATCGGGTAAATGAGTTTGTTCATGAATATAAATGAACGAGCTCATAAACAAGCTTATAAATGAGTTTATAAACGAGGTTAGGGGTGTTCATTTTTTCGAATTAACCGACCGAACCGAATTAGTTCGGTTAATTCGGTCGGCCACCGAATTAGTTCGGTCGGTTAACAGTTAATAAAAATTTTAGAATTCAGTTAACGGTTAATTCGGTTTCGAAATCGGTTAATTAACCGAAAAATAATTAAATATATTATATATAACATATGAGTTTAGCCAAACCATTTAAAACTCAATTAATAATTTAAGATCTAATAACTTTTAAACCTAAATCAATATTAATTAATTAAAATATTTATATAAATTTTTTATTTTATAATTATATATTATTTAAATAAATTGTAAACTATTTTTTGAATTAAAAATATTTAATTTTTATATAAATTAGAAAATTTTAAAAAAAATTGGTTAATTCTAAAATTAACAGAATTAACCGAAATTTATTCGGTTCGGTTAATATTTTCGAAAAAAAATTCGGTTAACGGGTAAAGGGAAAAAAGTTCGATTAATTCGGTTAATGGTAATTCGGTTCGGTCGGCCACCGTATTAACCGAATGAACACCCCTAAACGAGGTTATTTGTGAACATAAATGAACCAAACACACATTTGTTTGTGTTTGTTCGTTTATTAAATGAATATAATTTTTTGCTCATGTCTGTTTATTTAGCTTAACAAACAAACATAAACAAACATTATATGAATGATTCACGAACAACTCACAGAACGCTATGTTCATTTACACCCCTATCATCAGGGTCAATGGTTAATGATTAACTATAAATTAAGGTTAATTTACTTTTTTCGTAATTTTTTATTTTAATTATTAATCTAAAACATTCATTTTTACTCATTTAAATTTATTTAAAAATAAATTTTAAAAAACCATTAAAATTATCAATCAATCCTTGTTAAGAATGCAGTAAATAAAAAAGAATACTAGTATATTGATCATTGAAAATCTGCGCTTGGATTACAAGACTTCAGCTGTTTATATACAGCTTCTAATGACTATTATAAGCCTAACAATTTTTACAACTGATGTTAACAACTTTAACTGCTACTAACAACTTCAAGAAGCTGCTAACTACTTAACATCACCATGCATACTAAGCACGAGCAGCATTGTTGTTGACTCATCATGCTAATATTCCCTCTACTTCTTCTTCTGTTCTTTTGTCCTTCCTCACTTATTCGAACTTTCTTTTTGTTGGAAGCAAGGCGGTTAAGCTACGAGCATCCGGGTGTAATCTGAAGCCTCTCTTGGGCAAGAAAACACCATATTTTGTCTAGTTAAGGAGGACAGGGCTGTTAAACTCATAATCCTCCCCAGATAATTTTCTTTCCAAGTAAACTTGGTTGTTAAGCCTCAAAGTTTCATGATCACCTTGTGAGAGAAGCAAACAGGTAACAAAGAAATGCAAGCTGAAGGTAATCGAGCAACCTAAATCTATAGTAAAAGTGTACATAATTCAACAGCAATACCAGCTTAAGCTAAATCGATCGGCAACATGCAACAACTTTTTTTTCTTCAAGACTTTTTCTTTATTTTCTTCATTTTCACTCCAGACGGCCTCAAATTTCTCAGCTTTTCCCAGCACTATCTCAATCTTAGCTTTCTCAATCTGTCGACCCTTTTGATCCTCATGGGTGCTGAGCATAGTCGATGTCGTTATTCCTTTTTGGATTGCAAATCCATTTCGCTTCAGGATCTCAACTATGGTGACAATAGTAGGAATAGCCATTCCTAAGCCGCAAAGTTCAACCTCGTTGAACTCATTGATGTACCTCTTGGCATTCAAATAGAAGACGAAGGGCTTGGTGATGGAGACTTGCACCTCATTCTTCTGTTTCTTTTTCTTATCGTTCTTCATGCTCTTGGTCTCTTGGACTGACTTGACAGTTTTTTCTGGAGAAATGGTGAAAGGAACCTTGGCATGGTGATCGGCAGTGACAATTACAACAACGATAATCGGTTCCTTGCCGTTCTCTAAGTTAAAATCGCCGGAGATGATGGTCTCCTCGATCTTAGCTTCTTCTTTGGCCTTAAGGCTCTCTGATTCAACTATTTCAGCTGTAATGCTCAACTCCATGAGTGAAGAAACATAAAGAAAACAAATCTAGAAGCGTGAAAACAAAATGCTTAGAACCTTAGCGAAAGATACCATGTTAAGAATGCAGTAAAGAAAAAAGAATACTAGTATATTGATCATTGCAAAACTGTGCTTGGATTACAAGACTTCAGTTGTTTATATACATCTTCTAAGGACTATTATAAGCCTAACAATTTTTACAACTGATGTTAACAACCTTAACTGGTACTAACAACTTCAAGAAGCTGCTAACTACTTAACTAACATCACCATGCAGACTAAGCACGAGTAGCATTGTTGCTGACTCATCATGCTAACAATCATATTCCATGTATGATTTTGCTCTTTAAAAATACCTTGTTTTTTAACAATTATACTAACAAGGACAAAAATATATATATAGGTTATTTTCTCATAGTTAAAATCCTTTCTTTAACTACACGGAGTAAACCTTAGTCATTCTCCTTCATTTTCCTTTTAGAGTTTATCACATTATCTACCGATTAAATTAAATTTTTTATTTAATTTTATTTAGTTGACGGTGGCACTAGTTTTAATGTTGATTGTCATCCATCGTTTCTTTTTTTCTCTTTGTTTCATTTTAATTTTTAATAAGAATAATTCTGAATTTGTGTCAAGTTTTTATCTGTTTTTTGTGGCATATTTTCTGTTTCTTTATCGACCATTTGGTCATTCTTTTATTTATGTTTTCTTATGGTGAGATTTGACGACGCCATCAAGATGACACTTATTTGTAATTCTATTTATCTACCTTGCTATGGACTCTCAAATTGAATTTGGATACACAATTTTGTGTTGGTGGATATTTTCTCACAATGCTCAACTCTATTTTTTGGTTTTCGATGGTCTTTCAATAGCTTAATCCATATATAGTCTTATATGATCTAAAGTGACTAGTTTCATTGTTACAAGAAAATGTCCAAATTATTTATTTAGTTTATGATGATAATTGTAAACCCTTATTACTACGAATTTGAGAGCAGAAAAACAATCAAAGCAATATTAACATAAAATAAGACATGAACAACATACATGATTTGACGTGGTTAGGCCCTGTTTACCTCAACAGGCGAGATGAATAATAATCCATTATAAAACATAAAGAACACGAAGAGTAAAATACATAATATTGCATGTATCCTTGATGTCGGTGCCCCCTTGGGCTGTCAAACCCTCGATCATCACCCATTACAAGTTTCAAGCAGAACGAGTTCAATTTGAGAGGATACATTCCCTTATGCCTATGCGGAGAATAAATTCCCTCGAAGACATAAGGTATATGAATCCCGAAGTTACTTGCTAGGCATGCACGGAGAATAAATTCTCACGAAGGCTTCGCTTTCGCTCCCACTTAGAAAGGTTCAGAGCTCGGGTATAGAGCTTATGTTATGCAAATGCCCGTGATGTGTGTGAGGAGGAACATTCAACCCTTTGACTCAAAAGGAAAACGACACCACTCGATAAAAACTTGGACAAATCATAAAGCAAAAATTCAAATGTTAGTATGACAATAAAAATAATGAAGCAATTAAAAACTTCAATAAAATGATCATAAGTTAAATAAAGACACGAACTCATAATTTTCACCACAACAACAATTTGTAAACGACTTACAGACTGACTCTAAAAAAAAGTCCCCAGTGGAGTCGCCAAGCTGCCATAACCGTTTTTCGACGGAACAATCGTTTAATTGTTTTAAAAACAGTTACGACTTTTAATTTTGGAAAAATTGGTGATTCTGAATTAAATTAGGTAAGATTGAAAAGAGTCGCTATCGACCTTTGGGTTAGGTAAGTCGAATACCTAAAAATGTCTTTTAAAAATAATTTTAAGAAAAATCGTTTTTAAGACAAAAGTTGGTCTGCATTTACCAAAGATTCGATTAAAATAGGTTCGGGAGTCGGTTACGCGTGAGGAAGGATTAAAACCCTCTCAGCACCCAAAATTTGTACTGTGTCACTTACACGTTGTCGTAAATGTGGAAATTAGGAATCAAATATAAAGTTAAACTATGATATGTTTATTGAAATTTAATTAATTTTGCTTCGAGTGAATTATTTAAAAGTGTTCTTGAAATATATTTAAATAAATAACATTAAAACTAATAAAATAGTGCTTGCTAAAAATTTGAATAGTAAAATATATACGTATGAATATATAAGATTTTTAAAATATAATAAGTAACAAATAAATCAATCCACATAATAACATTAATACAATTGAAATTACTTTACATGCTTATAACAAAATCAAGTAAATTTGTATTAATTAATTAATTAATTATATATATATATATATATAAAGTAGAGTCAAAAATATATTAAATATATATGTATAACACCAAAATAAATGTGTAAGCTCAAATATATTAAGTATATATATACATATATTATTTAGTACATGCCTGGAATATGAAACAAAAATATATGTGAAATATGTATTTACAACATATATATACGTAAAACTATAATTATAGGAATAAAGACATAACTTATATATTTTATAATATTTACATATATATATATATATATACAATATTTAAGACTAACATAAAATAACCGAAAACATGGAGGACCAAATTAAAACAAAACAAGGCAATTACTAAAATGATATGTTTTCAAATGTCATAGCCTAAATTTAAACACCCATAAAAATACACAAAACACTAAATTAGTGACCAAACTAAAACCTTTATAAATACCGTAGCCAAAATCGAATACTCACATTAATAATAAAATAAACAGAAAATAGGCCTAAAATATAAGTAATGAAACATTAACACTCAAAATAAAATAAAATAAAAATTCATTAAATAACCATAATGGAACGTTTACAAACTAGAGACCCTCCCTACATGATTCACCCATGCGCCGAATATATAAAAACCCTAAGTCACAAAAACGACGCCGTTTTACCTTATATTTATACCATATTAAGGGATTTTGAAACCATATTTTCATTTGATTCATCCCTCAGCCGTGCTCCTCTCCTCAACTTCTCTCTTCCCCGATAGCAAACCGAGAACCACAGAGCCTAAAGCTCCAACAGTCGCCGAGAAACTCTAAACCAAAAACTCCGACGTCAACTAGCACGGACGAGAAGCCTAAACAAACTTCCGTGTCGACCTACAAGCCCCTCGATTTCTCTCTAGCCCGAAACTTCTGGAACACCTAAACTATATCTCTACTCCCGTGAAGACCAAAACATAACAAAGGTAAAATGATCTCTCTCGTTTCTATTTCGTTTTTATTTTAGAATCCCAATCGATGAAGTAACCCCTAACTCCTATGCAAGGTTTCCCGAGCGACCTTCAATGCCTCGGTCTTAAACCCGGTGGCTCAAATCGGTAAGCTCCTTATCCCTATTTATTTCTGTTTTTATATTTGAAACCCCGATGGATGAAGATTAAATAAAAAAAAACGATGTGCAAGGATTAGAGGGGGGGGGAACTCACAGCATTCTTACCTACCTCCAATGATGGTGATACTTTGGCAAAGGGACCCCAATCGTAGGTAAACTCGAAGGACCTTTCTTTTATTTTAGTTTTGTATTTGCTACCAAATATCAGAGATGAATTGTTGGAAATGTAAAGAATTGAAAACTGGAATCCTTTTTCTTGCTTTGTATTGCTTTGTATTGCTTTCTTCGTAAATTTGAAGGAGAAACCCCTCTATTACATTGTTTCGAATGGGAGAAAAAAAAACTCTTTTCCACACTGTTTTTTTCGTTTCGAATAGGGTAGCAGTCTCTGTTTACACTTTTTTTTTTCGATGAACAATGCTCTCTCTATTGCCGATGGTTCGTGTTTTCCCCCCTTCTTGTTTTCGACTGCCCCCTCTTTATGCCTTCTTCTTTGTTGCTGAATGATCTGGCATTGAGTATGTGGGATTTGTTTTTAATGGATTTTCGGTGGAGCAGGTTTGATTTGGTTTAGTGGATTTGTAGTGGATGGTGCTATTTGGTATTATTTGCAGATGAGTGGAGGTGGCAGCAGCACATGGGAGCTAGTGGAGGTATGGTGTGGGGTATGGGATTAATTAATTAAATGAAGTGGTGCTTGGGTTGTTGTTGGTGTTCTTCACGTGGGGAGGCAATGGGCAAAAGATGGTGCATTTATAAAAAATGATGTGTAAGAAGTATGGGGTTTGAATAAAAAATGGTGCTCACAGATTGCATTTTTCCAAAAACAATTATCTTTCACATCATCCTAACGTTTAATACATAATTTTTATTTATAGAATTAAATATACTTGGTAACCAAAAATTCTTATTTTATAAGAATTTTATACTGGAATAAATAATTACTCTACTAAATAAACTTAATTACCAAATGATCTTTAAACACTAGAAGTATAATAAAATTTAATTTAATCACCAATTATAATTTAAATCAAAATATAACATTTATTATAATCTTAAATATTTTCAATTTTTAATAATATCTATAGTAGATCTACTTGGAAACTCCACCTTTTATAAACACCCAAAACTATGAAGCTAAAATATTTAGGCGGTTTCTCCTTTTTTTTTCTTCTTTCAAATATTAGTAGTGGGATTTATATCGACAGAAACTCCGACGATTCAAGCAAGAGTAACGGCTGTGCATGGTACAGATGGCGTCAAACTCAACAGTGCGCTGCTCATTGAAATTCTATGAAGCAAACAATGTATATCCCACTGCCACCGACGACGCCATGATCCAGTTACGTATCGAATTATGCTATCAGCTTCTCGTTAAAGCCTACGGCGCTGAGTTTCTGGTCGATGAAATCTTCACCCCGGAATTTGTGACTTCCTTCTCCATTCCGTTAGCCTTTTTGTTTTCCGGCTGCAGTGTAATGTTCGTCTCCAACGTGCTTGCTGGCCTCAACGTGGACACCGGTGTTCGTGACTTCTCGAGTCCGAGGATTGCAATGTTTGCCTTTGATATGGCCAAACGCCACGGCGTAGCTGTTTCCAGTTTCATGACGGTGGCCAAAGTTTCGATCAATAAAGTCGATTATATTCGGGAGGAGGAGTTTAATAGGATTTCAACAGCATTAAAGCCGGAACACATTGTGTTGGAATAGTCGAGCCCCATTAAACAATAATTGGTTGGGTCTACGGTAATTTGCTGCATTTGATCATAGAATTTCATATGTGAACTTTGTATTAATGAATTTAAAGATGTTTTTTTGAGTGGCCAAAGATTCAAATGATTCTTTTGTGTTCACGATCAACACTTTGGTGCATATATGCACCGAAGGAGTGGAGAGAAAGAAGAGATGAATACAAGAGGAGTGTCGGCCGCTGCATCAGAGGGTCACAAGAAATGTTACGATCTGATGCTAGCGCCTAGTGGTGCTTCTTCTCTACCCCCATGTAATGCATTGAAATATATAATATGCGGTAGATATACATTGCAGTGTCCTTGTACAATGTCATTTGTCTGTTGTTAGATGTTATTAGTAGGTTTATATCATCTAAATTTGGATCAGAACAAATAAACAACTGGCTTTATGTTCGTTTGGTGTAGATGCTCGTTTTGTCCGGACCATAGTCATTAACCTGTCAAACAGCACCTGCAAATAACACCCAAATCAGCCAAAATCCCACCAAATACACTATCTATTTTTAAATGACACTAAAAAAAATAAATACAAAAAATTAGGTATTTTACCTACTCCACTCAACAAACCTACCCTACCACTAAACATACTCCATCACAGCAAATCAAGCCGCAATTGAAAGACCAGAGCCTTATTAGCACCTATAAAATAGAAAAAAAAATCCTTATAGTCAGCAAATCAAGCCGTAATTGAAAGACCATGGCCTTATTAGCACCGATAAAATAGGGGGAAAAATCCTTATAGTCAACAAATCAAGCCGTAATTGAAAGACCAGGGCCTTATTAGCACCGATAAAATAGAAAAAAACTAAAAATTGAAACCTTAGTAAAGAGCTTTGTGACTGCTGAGATTCGAGCTCAGGCCTCCATGGCCCCAAAGTAAAATTCTTACCAATAAACTATAACCACAACTTTACATTATTAATGAAAACATTTATATAACATATTAAAAAGAAGGGTAAAGTACACAAATGGTCCTCGACCATAGGGTGTTACTTTGTTGAGTCTCTTGACTAATAAAAGTTACAAAATGATCCCCTAATTATATAATGTTACTTTGTTGGGTCATCTTAATATTCATATGTTCCAAACTTGTTTTTTTCATTAAAATTTGGTGATCGTCTAAGATGGACATTAATTTGTTTACTGAGATGATAAAATATGATTCAACAACTATTTGAGTTGTATTTATGGATCGAATTTTCATTTACATTATATCGTCAAACCAATGCTCGAAATATTATGTTGGTGAGCTAGTGCTTGAAAGTAACGACAATACTAGTAGACATCATTAAAACATGATTTTATCAAATCATGGTTAACAGGTTAACGTTCAGCTTAGACAACCATCAACTTTTTAATGTATATATATATATATATATATATATATATACACACGCGCGCTTTTTTTGAGATACTTACGACTTTCTCGAGTCGAGTTCGAGATTGAATTCATTTGATTCGAGTGTTGATGGAATTTTGACTAAGTCAAACTCAAATAACTCTAGATTTTTTTCGTCTCATTTACAACATTAAACAAAAATAATTCTACGGAAAAAAAGATATATAGAGATAAAAATATAATGATAAAAATATAATATAATATAATATAATATAATATAACAAATATTATCTAAATATATCAATTTGTTAAAAATTGTAATATTTTAATATATTTAAAATGTTATAATTTTACTTGTATATACGTTATTAAAAATAATGTAACATTTCAATAGCAGTAAGAATGTATTTAAAATATTATGAAATATTTTCAACCATTAGAATTAAAAAAATCAACAACATTGCTTTGTTGAGTCCCGACTATTAAAAGTTACAAAATAGTCATTCAATTATTTATTGTGTCACAAACTTATCATTTTTCGTTAAAAAATGATGACAGTTTAAATTGAACATTAAAATGTTGGCTGAGATATAATATAATTTGATCATAGAATCTCAAACAAATATCATATCTTAATCAGTAGGTTAACACCTAGCTCAAATTGTCATCAATTTTTAAATATAAAAGGACGAGTTTGAAACACAATGATTAATCGAATGACCATTTTATAACTTTTAATAGTCGATGGACTCAATAAAATAATATCCTATAGTTTGAGGACCATTTTATAATTTTTAATAGTAGAGAGACTCAATAAAGCAACACCCTAGTTAGGGGGTCATTTGTGTATTTTACCCTTACCCTATATATTAGATTATTTAAGCTTTATTTAAGTATCTAACATTTTAGCTTACTCTACCAACTAAAATTAATATTTATATTTTTGAATAGAACTAAAAGTAATATTTGAATGAACTGAATTTGGATGGTTTGTTGAATGAGCAGAATTTGAATTTGTTTGTCAAACTATTCGGTTTTGTGCATTACATTTGAAATGGACGTTCCACACTTGGCAGTTTTATTCAAAAATCACCCAAATAATTAAAAAAACATCATTCTGATACTTTTTTCCTAATATTAATCAAACTAACATCTTTTCTAAAATCAAGAAAAAGAGACACGTTTTGGGTAACACATTTTGCACATGTGGCAAAAAGATACATTTCAGGGACATCTTCACTAAGGTGGCATGACACATGGGAAGCGTGTCTCATAGGGCAAGCCTTTCCCAAATTTTTATAAAATTGTAAATATATTTCATATTTCATACATTTGGACTGTTAAAATGCATGAGTAATGGTTAAAAGCACTCTAATTATTCGATGACCAACTATATAACACTCAAAATAAGATTTCATACTCTCGATTTCAACAAAATCGCATGATTCTTTATTCAACACAAAACAAAGTAACAAACTATATCTTTTTATTGAGGAAGACCAAAATCACTACAAGAAACTTAGTTATTTCAGGCAATGAAAACTTACATGCTTAGTTGGCCTTAAATTTCATAATGTCTGTCGCCTACTTCAATTTGGTTTTCGGTCATATGCCTTTTTTTGTTGTTGGAAATATGGTCATATGCATAAGAAATAAAACTATTAGTATGAACTCTATTAGTAACTATAAGAAACCTAATTTAAATATTCTCATCAAAATATTTCTTAACAAAATTTAACTCAATTAAAAAGTAAATATGTTAATATATAGAAGATATTTAATTTTAATTAATATGAACTCAAATTTATATTTCAATAGTAAAAATAAAAAACTCTAACTTAATAGATTGAATAAAATTAAAAAATTAAAGATTACATGGAAAAATGTAGAAGAACTATATCTCATATTGTTAGTAAATATAACCTAAGCACACCACTATGCCTATATAAACTAATATCATTAGACTCTTAAATTCAATGATCTAATTTGCATCAAATTACATTATTGATCTTTATAGTTTTATTTTTTTAATTTGTTTTAAAGTATAGTTTTATAAAGATGCTGAAAATTTGTTATTGGATTTTTTTGAATCTTTGAGAATATTATATATGATTATTGGCATGCATTTTGGCTCACTCGATTTTATAAAGTTTAATTAAATAATGGTGTAGTTGTCTCTTATATTTTTAAAATAATTATAATTATAATTTTTTCTATATTTTTATTTCAATTAAATTTAAATTTAATCAAATAAAAATAAGAATATTTTATACATTTATATTTGGTAGAGTACGAAAAGTTATTCTTAAAAATAGGTCGGGTTTTAGTTGAAATAAAATCTTTCTAAATTCGGATCGAGAGTTACGATTAAAAGATATAAAATTCTGGTTATGTTTGAATAGAGTAAAAATCGACATAACCTGACTTGATTCATATTTATCCCTAATCATATAATTATTTAAATTTTATTTTATTTTTACTTATGATCGGTTGAAATCAAGTTTTTAAATTAAATGTTTTGAACAAATTAATCTCTTTGTCCCTCACTCTTTGAGAATTAAT